AGAGTTTATTATTCCCATGATTCTTGCTTTCCTTCCACTATTTCAGCTTTTAACTTTAATAATTGTTAACTAATTTAAAATAATAGGAGTAGAATTTGTGTTCTCTGTTCCAAATCTCCTTATTCAATTATTAGCATTGCAGTGCTAGCAGTGGGGAAATTTGAATCCAATTTCTCCTCTGAATAATAAAAATGCAGGATTTTGTTTCCTGTTCTTGTCCTGAAAAGGTGTTGAGAACTTGGTAGCATAGTCAGCTCTGGTATTAGATACTGCATGTGACGGTTTAGAGATGAAACCACAGTGTTTTATTTCTGTTTCTTTGTCCTTTCTAGTGCCCTGGACGCGACATGAGTATGAACTGGCACAATGGGCTTTCAGGAAGTGGAAATTTCACCAGTTCACTTCACTGAGGGACCAGCTCTGGGGAAATGCAGTATATCTGAAAGAAGCCAATGCAATCAGTGTAGAGTTAAAGAAAAAGGTAGAGCATGCAGGCTATCTTTTTGAATTTTATATTTTGTTGTATGTCTTTTCCTTATTACTTTAGGCTCTAAAAGGGTTCAGAAAATTGTTAGTCTGATTCAGACTTCTGGCTGAATGAAGAGCCTTTGCAAATCTAGTTGATACAGTCTCCTCTTCCTCATTTCCCATCTGTTGTTCCTGTCAGTATCATAAACAGATGTATATGCATATCTCCCTGGGGCCCTGTCTTTTTCTTTTTCCTTTTAACTTCATGTGGTCGTTCATCTTGGCAAAAAGTGGGTGCTGCAGGATGTGCTATGTCTGTAGTTTTCCAGATCTCTGCTAGATGTGCTAATAAAGGCAAGATACGTGTGCTCAGCTAAAAAAATGTTTTATGCCATTTTGAGACATTAAATAAATGATGTTAAAAACCTCAATCTCTTCACTGAGGTGAAAATAAAACTCGTTTCCTCTTTTGCTGTTAATTGGGTCTCTGTCCCCATTGTGCTGCTGGTCTCTGACTTGTCAGAACTAAAGTAATTTTTTTTTTTTTTTCCATTCAGGTGCAGTTTCAGTTTGTCCTGCTGACAGACACCCTCTACTCCCCACTGCCACCAGAGCTTTTGCCCACTGAGCTGGAGAAGATGCGGGACAATAGGCCTTTCCCCCGTACCGTGGTAGCTGTGGAAGTCCAGGATCTGAAGAATGGAGCAACTCATTACTGGTCCTTAGAAAAACTCAAGTATGTAAATGTTACTGGAGGACAAACTTCTTATATCCAAGGAGCTTCACTGAGAAATTTCATCCTTTGCTGTTCATTCTATTGTACTTATTTTTTTCTCTGTCCTCCCAAATGCCAACTTTCCAAACAGCTGTTTTCAATACTAGCTTTCTAGATTCTTTAAACAAGTGTGTTTGTTCTTCAGTGTTTTACCTCACCTCCACATTCAATTTTTGAAACTGGTGATGTGTGTAGAGCAGTGACCTGGCCCTGTGGTTTGTGGGCTCAACCTGCAGGTTTTTTCCCAGAATCCTTAACATGCCAGAGAGGGAGAAGGAACAGATGAGTCTGTACCACTGAGTTTGGTACTGTACTAAGTGGAACCTGGTGTAGGTGAAGCCAGTGTGCTCCGTGTTCTCTGCTTTTTTATTTGCTGTTCTAAACTTTTTTTTTAATCCTACTTTCTTCTGTACAGGCAGAGGTTGGACCTGATGCGTGAGATGTATGACAGAGCTGGGGAAATGGCATCTAACACCCAGGATGAGAGTGAAAGCACAATGACAGGCAGTGACCCCTTTTATGATCGCTTTCACTGGTTCAAGCTGGTTGGGAGGTATGTGATGATCATTCCAACTGTTGGTGCACTGGTCACTCCTGTCAGTTCTGGATGAACTTTGACTTTGAATGTGGTTATAAACTGTAGGGCCACTATATTTACTTGTGTTTTGTCCTTCAGGGATTTCTGGTAGACTTAAAATATAGTGAAGAGCAGAAAATGCTCTTCAGAATGTTCTGGTGTAACCTTGTAGAACTGGATTTGACCGAATGCTGAGTAAGTTACAAGTTTATTTTTAAGAATGGTAGCTAAGTTCTGTCTAAAGTCACTGGAGCAGAGCTGTGAGAATATGAAGAACGCTGAAAGTGATGGGAAAAGTGGTCCAGGGCCTTATATATATGGCTCAAAATAACTTGGTCATACTTTTTGGAAGTGCCTAATATTTCATGAGATTCTCTTAACTTTTCCTAATGTCAGCTGCACCTTTGCAATATTTTTAGTTACAAAAAAGGTACTTCTTGGAAATAAGAATTGCAGCTCTGTTAATGGATGTGCTCTGAATACCTCAGTGTTCAACCACGTTTATATTCATTTTTCCTTCTGTTCAGTTCAAGGACGCTCCTTTTCCTGCCTTTGTTAGCAATCCCCTTATGTCTCACTGCAGTCTAGATGGTTTGCAGCCTCTGCTTGTTGTTCAGGTGGTCTCTGTGCTGCTGGTGACAGACGGCTGTTAAATGAAGCCTCCTTCTCTCCCCTCCCTCTGTTAATTGCTATTCCATTAACTGACATCCAGCTCCCCCATATTCCATGGCTGCGTGAACGAGCGTCTCGCTGATCGCACGCCCTCCCCCACTTTCTCCACGGCTGACTCCGACATCACTGAACTGGCTGATGAGCAGCAGGATGAGATGGAGGACTTTGATGATGAGGCCTTTGTGGATGATACTGGCTCCGACGTTGGAACTGAGGAGGGATCAGACCTCTTCAATGATGGGCGCGACCCGTTTTACGACCGATCCCCTTGGTTCATTTTAGTGGGAAGGTTGGTGAGGTTCCTGTGAGAACGGCCAAAAGGGACCAGCTCTTGCTGTAGGCTGCAGTGGCTTTGCCCTGTGCTGCACAGAGTATCTGTCAAGCCAGCCAAAATACCTATACACGTAAATTGGAATTGCCAGAGAATGAGTGTAGTGTAAGTTTTAACTTCCCATGTCAGAGACCATGAAGACCTAAATAATAATTATTGAGAAAATAACCCTGAGATGATGTGACAATGGGAGGAAATGTAATTCTATTTCTAGGTAACTGTCACAACATGGAATGAATGGGGTCATCAAGAGCAGTCAACATGGTTTTATCAAGGGTAAATCATGTTTGACTAACCTCATAGCCTTCTATGAGGAAATTACTAGGTGGATAGATGATGGTAGAGCGGTAGATGTGGTTTATCTTGATTTCAGTAAAGCATTTGACACCGTCTCCCACAGCATCCTTGTAGATAAGCTGATCAAGTATGGGTTTGGTGATCAGGTAGTGAGATGGATCAGGAACTGGTTGAAAGGAAGGAGCCAGAGAGTTGTAGTCAATGGGGCAGAATCTGGTTGGAGGTGTGTGACTAGTGGAGTCCCACAGGGGTCAGTACTGGGACCGGTGTTGTTCAACATCTTCATCAACGACCTGGATGAGGGTATAGAATGTACCCTCAGCAAGTTTGCTGATGACACTAAGCGGGGAGGAGTGGCTGACACACCAGAAGGCTGTGCTGCCATTCAGAGAGACTTAGATAGGCTGGAGAGTTGGGCGGGGAGAAACATGATGAAATTCAACAAGGGGAAGTGTAGAGTTTTACATTTGGGGAAGAACAACACCATGTCCCAGTACAGGTTGGGGGCTGACCTGCTGGAGAGTAGTGTAGGTGAAAGAGACCTGGGGGTCCTGGTAGACAGGAGGATGACCATGAGCCAGCAATGTGCCCTGGTGGCCAAGAAGGCCAATGGCATCCTGGGGTGCATTAGAAAGGGTGTGGTTAGTAGGTCAAGAGAGGTTCTCCTTCCCCTCTATTCTGCATTGGTGAGGCCGCATCTGGAGTATTGTGTCCAGTTCTGGGCCCCTCCGTTCAAGAAGGACAGGGAACTGCTTGAAAGAGTCCAGCGCAGAGCTACGAAGATGATTAAGGGAGTGGAACATCTCCCTTATGAGGAAAGGCTGAGGGAGCTGGGTCTCTTTAGCTTGGAGAAAAGGACTGAGCGTGACCTCATCAATGTTTACAAATATGTAAGGGGTGAGTGTCAGGGGGACAGAGTTAGGCTTTTCTCAGTGATGACCAGTGATAGGACAAGGGGTAATGGGTGTAAATTGGAGCATAGGAGGCTCAAGGTGAATATCCGAAAATTTTTTTTTACTGTAAGAGTGACAGAGCCCTGGGACAGGCTGCCCAGGGAGGCTGTGGAGTCTCCTTCACTGGAGACATTCAAAACCCACCTGGACACATTCCTGTGTGATGTACTCTAGGTGACCCTGCTCTGGCAGGGGGGGTGGACTAGATGATCTTTCAAGGTACCTTCCAACTCCTAAGATTCTATGATTCTGTGATTCTATGAATGTGATTTTGCTTGTGTACACCATTTAACCATTATTTATAAGAATGCTCTATTTAGCCATTGCAAGATCACTAAGGCAGTATTGTAGTATGTCATTTTCTCCCTTAGAAGAGAATCTCAGAGTACGATGGAAAGTCTTCTAAGTCCAATCCAATAAATCCATTTTTTGAAAACTCATCTAACATCCTCTGCATCTGAAGAGAAAAGGTGACATGAGGAGAAAGAAGAATGGCTCTTTCTGGATGAGGAAGAGTTGTTCTTTGAGATGATTTGGCTTATCAGATTATGCCTGACTCTTGGTCGCAAGTATGACATAGTGAAAGGTCATTGTAAAAATTCCCTGCCTGGTGGTGTTTATCAGTGCTTTCCCCACATGCTGTGCTTAAACTTCTGAAACAAGTTTGCTTTATGTTTTTTAGGGTATTACCTGTTTTGCTAATCTAGGTATGATTAAGGCATTACCAGACTTCAGTCTGTGTCAGCAAGTTGTATTTAGAAAAGGTAGCACTTTGCACTGTTGATAATCTGTCTTCAACATAGAACTCATGTCAAAAAACAATTTTTATTTCGTGACTTTGCTCCCCTCTGTTCTGCTCCAACTCCCCCAGTTATGCTTTTTTTGCTCATTTGATCACTCTGTAAGAAAATCTCCCTTATTGTTTTAACAAGTAGATGGTTTTACATTGTACAAAAGAGGGGGTGAAATTCCATGGCTGGCAAAAGAGAGAAACAAAGGAGAAGGGACCAGAGCTTGACTTTATTGTTTTCTGTGACTGTAAACAGGGAAGACTTCATGGTCAGGAAGGTGGGATCTTTTTGCAGTTTCCTCAAAAGCAGGAAACTTGACTGCATTATTTTTCAAGTGGGGACTGATTTTGTCAGTCTTTTATCAAGCTTTTAGATTATTTTAGCGGTATTGTCTAACCTCATTCTTTGTCTTTAGTTGACCTGTTTCCAAGCTATGGTTAAAACTTGGAACTCCCTTGATCTAGGATTTGAAATAAAAATTACAGTTACTAGAGATGCAAGAAATTACTTTAGTCCTCTTTGATCTGTGAATTTGTGCCCTTATGTGCAATGTGTTTTATAAAATTTAATACTTTCAGGGTTAGCCTGGTCCACAGAAAGCCATCATAACTGGTTTGGAGGTGGTTGTCAGCTAGGGAAAGCACGCGTGAGCTGTTTGCAGGGGCCAGGACTGCTTTCCTGTAACAGAGCTGGCACACTTGGCCTGTTCTCCTGTTGTGCTTGTTCTTTCAGAGCGGGACCTTCAGTGCTTGGGAAAAAGTTGAGCCATTCATCTTCATTTCACAGACTGTTCAGGAAGCACAACACAAGCTGAGCAAATACAGGGTATAATGTTGTGCTTCCTGGCAACTGCACAACTTGCTTCCCGTTTCCATGCATTAAAAAGAACGCTGAGCTCTGTCTGTACAGCCAGACAAGTGGAGCTGCAGCAGTTGTGGGCACAGTTATGTAGCCTGAACCACCTTGGCTGCACATAGTGAGGAACTCTGCTGGGGTTGTCAATGGTATTGAGGAATGAAATGTAGTTTGTAATGTCTCTGAGTAGACAGCTGAATGACTTTTCCCCAGTTGTTGGTTTATATTCTGTTCTGTTCCTCTTGTATTGTGCTAATTCTGTCAGCAAAAAGCAGTTAGACTTTAGCACCACTGGGTAGAAATTATTTTGATTCCTCAGTGTCTTCCAGAAGGAGAATTCTGCTTTTGAAAAGTGTGACTTAAACTTATTAGAGGGCATGTCCATCTATGTAGATATTGTCTTGAGCACAAGTAGTGCTCAATGGATGAGAAGTAGATCATGTAGCTGTTCAACTCTTTGGGCCTTAAAGTATTCTTTCTTTTTCTCTTTCTGTGCTGTGACTGTCTTTTATTTGTACTATAAGTATTAAAGAAAAGGAAAAAAGAGCTGGTCCCTTTAGCCATCTCTTCTGGCATGTTTGGCTGTCTTTAAGGCTAATTCTATTTAACAGTGTGACATAGCAAGCATTTGTTATGTTTCTAAGGGAGGTGGGAGAGAACTATGGGATATTTTATTTAAGTCGTAAATGAGTGTGTTTATTTAAAAAATACCCATCATCATTCTGAGTTCTGTTGTTTCTGTTTTCATTTTTTAAAAAAACCAAAACAAAACTGTGTTTGTTCAATTTCATTTCTAGTTTTGTTGTGACTATGCCATTCTACCTCACCAATCTTTCTGCTAATACAGCATCTCCTTTTTCAGTCTGCTGGGCTGAGGTGCAGGGGACACTGGCACATGGGATGTCTGGGCAGTGGGAGGCCTCCCACATGTGGGAAGAAGAGGAGAAAAACTCTTAAGTTTTCATCCACTCCTCCTTTGGTACTGTTGTGTGATGAAGCAGCTGGAGTGGCACTGGAAGGCAATATTGCTCCATAAAAAGCTCCTTTCTCCATTCTAGAGAAGAGATCCAGCATTTTTGTCACCAATAGGAAGCTGAAAACTTTTTGCATTATGTGCTTTTCTTTCTCTAAGTTAAAATGATGCCAGTGAGCTGGGTGACTGGATGGAAGGAAGTTAAGGAAGATGAGAAATATTTTTGGGATTATAATTGTACTGAGTACCTTGGCATTGCCCATGAAGCTGAATGCTTTGCCTGTCCTATGTTGTACAGCAGCTGCAGAACTTTTTTGCAAACAAAAAAAAAATAATTATTTTTCATGCTGTTAATGCTTTCACTTTCCACCAGTTTGGCTTGGAAATAGGAAGGCTTCTGTAATGACTCTTCTAGTTAGTGGAACTGCCTCTTCCTGTAGAGATCTCAGTGTGTAAGGCTGTTTAGATTCCTTTCTGTTGGGGAAAAATGTCTGTTCTTCCTAGCTTGAAATGTAGTTTTCAAACTGTGTGGTTTTCATGTTGAGCATCTAACTACATACCTTCCTGAACTCCATGCCTGGTTCAGTCCAAGGGAACAATTCCAGATTGTTAGTGTGGAGAACTGTTTTCTTGTATGGTGGGATGCTGCTTACTCAAATGAGCACCACATGAAATTTCAAAGCTAAAACTGAAAATGAATTCTTAGGAAAAAAAAAGTAAAAGTAAACTTCTCATTTTGTTACTTCAGATTTAATCTCTTCCCTTCCCCTGCTTTATCAGTGCTTCCCTCACTTTGAAGCAGACTGAAAAGGAATTGGATCTAATCTTAGTCAAGTGTTACGTTGAAATTGTTTTTTTGTTGTTGTATGGTTTTCTTCATTTCTTGTTTTGTTACTTTTGTAGCCTTATTAATCATTCTCTTCTCTATTGCATTTTGTCACCACTTGGTTTTTTTAGTAGCATTATTCTTGTCTTTTTGGTTCATAATTGACACCTGTTTGACTACCTTGTCATTTCAAGAGAATTCATTCATTCTGGGAACGGGCATGTGAACCCAGAGAGAAACATTTCCCTTTTCTAACTGTGGTCATTAACTGTGTGTCACCAGGAATTGAGTTTGGATCAGCGTTGTGTTCATAGAACAAATCCTACAGCTGATGTCTCCAGACAGAGGCAGTGAACATCTTTATTTCTTTGTCAGTCCTCTTCTGTCATGCAGGACTTTCCCTATGAATGTTAAACAATAACAGTTCCAAATTTGAGGACTAAATTATACTTAATAATAAAGACTAATAATAAAGACTAATAAAAAGGAATGCAAGGACATCCAGTTAAATGACTGGTTTTTAGGATAATTTAACATGTGAAAGTTAATAATTACAAAATTGGTTAGTCAATTTAAATGCAATGACTGGTAAAGCTATTGGTTAAACTTCTATGCATTTCAGTAGTCTTCTAAACTCTGAAACAGTTCACTTAATAAATACATCCTTCCATTTTCACTTAATAAATAAATCCCTCCAGTGTTTTAAGAACTGTTGCAATTCATTGCGAAAAAGGAAAATAATTTAATTTCAAAATTTATAAATTGCTAATTTAAGTTAACTTTTAATTAAAAAACCTCTATGATAGAACTTGTTAACTTATTGTTCCAAAATAGACCCTGCTTGTAGGTAATTTGATAAGTTAGTGTATGGAAGGATCATCCAGTACTGGGCTGAAATTCTACTTTTCCTGTTGTAAACTGTGATTTCTAAATGACTGCTCCAAAGAACTGTAGTGGTGTTTTAGGTTTAAAATAAACAAGTATAATACTCCCAAAGATATTTAGCTGTGAAGGCTGTCAGTCTTCCACTATCCATATACTTAGTGAATATTCCAAAAAGCCTAAGAGATGGGATGGTTTATTGGGGATGTCTTAATTACTCTGTATATAGTGTTGTCAAATGTGTGTAGAAGAGAGAAGACATTCAGTCAGTGTATTCTGAAAAGTGTTTTTGTATGTTCAGTAAAATATTGGAGGCTGTGTGAACACAGTAGATCGATTCCCTTTTAGCACTTCAAAACACACTCATGGGATGGAAAACTCAATTCTTTATAATCAGTAGTTCCTTAGTAAACTTCTACTGTCTTGTTAACAGCTCCATTTACCACTGTAGTGCATCTAAAATTACCTTCTATGAAGCCATCATCTTAAAAGGTCTCCTGTATATGTTTTGTAACTCAGTAGGACAAGCCCTGTGTCTCCAGGATACTCTGGTTTGTGGCTTCAGGCAGCTTTGCCACTGCTGAGGAGCCCAGTGTGGACAGCGTGTTTATGTGGCCACAGTGCAGGTCTGATAGATGGATTAAAGCAGATTGTCTGAAGAGTGGAACGTGCCGCTAGCCAAGCAAATGCTGCAGGCTGGTGTTGCAGATGTTTGCCTAACCCTGCTTGTGTTTTCTCTCCTTCCTGTTACCAGAGCATTTGTGTACCTGAGCAACCTGCTGTACCCGGTGCCTCTGATTCACAGAGTGGCTGTTGTTAGTGAGAAGGGAGAAGTACGAGGATTTCTGCGAGTAGCAGTCCAGGCTATAGCAGGTGAGACACTCTGACAGCTTTACTTTGCATCTCTTTGGTGCACTGTTCATACCTGCAGGTATGCCTTCCTATGTGGATTGTTAATTTCTCTGAGCTACAGTAATCAGAAGTAAATAGTAAAATTAGTACTGAAGTTGTTTTCCATTCAAAATTCTCTGAAGTTAAGTATATTCATGATGAAACTCCATTGTCTTGTTTTCCCACACTAGAGATCACAATGGATAGATTTCTGCTATGATTTTTTCCAGCACTTATTCCAGTCTATTACTGGATGACTGGAACTGGCCTCTTGTGCTTTACAGACTCATTTCCTTTGTAATCAGAATTTCCATTTAGAGAACTTTCAGGGTTTTTCCTGCTCCTCCCCATATTTTTCTTTCTTTTTCTTTTTTTTCTATTTTTCAGCTGATGAGGAAGCCCCAGATTATGGCTCTGGAATTCGACAGTCTGGCACAGCCAAAATCTCATTTGACAATGAATACTTTGATAAGGTAAGAAGCCTCAAAACTGTGTTAGATTTCTTTGAGTGCAGTAGTTTGCAATTCTAAATAAAGAAGAAATATTGCAGGGGAAGAAGGGGATGGCAAAAGCAAAAACTGCAGGAATTTGTTACATGCAACTTCATTTAATTTTTCAGAGTGACTTTTCTTCAGTTGCGATGACTCGGTCTGGGCTGTCATTGGAAGAACTAAGAATTGTGGAAGGGCAAGGACAGAATTCAGAGGTTACCACTCCTCCAGAGGAGATCAACAGAATCAATGAGTTAGGTAAGCAAGAAATATGTAGTAGTTTTGCAGAACTTAAGGGAAATGAGAGACACTTGAAGTAAGTGATAGAGATTCTGAGTGTCCTTCAAGAATATTGTAGCTAGGGAGAGGTGTAACCAGTGGGTTCCATGTGATGGGTGATGGAGTCACTCATTTGAAGAACAGTGCAGAAAAACTGTTCTCATGTATTTGCATCTTGTTGTTATTGGCAAATAATTCAGGCTCAACAGAAAAAAAAAAAGTGTGATGGGATTGAAGTGTTGCCTGAAGGAATATTTTAAGAAAAGGAGGGGAAAAAGAAATAAAGGAGTGATTTCATGTGGGATGTTTGTGTCTCCCTAAGACCTGAAATCGGCCACTTTGGATGGAAAGATGACAATGGAAGGATTCACTGAGGAAATTGGTGATCACTTGAAGCTGGGCAGTGTATTTACCTTCCGTGTGACAGTGCTGCAGGCCAGTGGCATCCTTCCTGAATATGCAGACATCTTCTGCCAGTTCAAGTAAGAATTTGTCCTTATTTATTGACAGGGAGTGCAAATAATAGCAGACAATGGAGGGTCTAATTTGAGAGCTTTTCAAAGTAGTGGCCCTGTAGTATAGCAGAGGAAAAAAGCCCTTGTCAGTGACTGGAATTTCTGTTACAAGTAGTACCTGCTGTGTTAACACGGTATTAAGGAATAAGGTTTTGCAGACAGGAATTAAGAATCAGAGTGGACTCTTAGTAGTTACAGGTATCTTAAGTTTTTGCTTGATGATGGCTTCTAATATGAAAAACCCAGTATTAGATTATACATATGCTTAACTGGAATGAAAGCTATGACCCTTGAGTAGCTCTCAGGTGAAGGTGTTCTTTGGCTTAGTTCCTTAAGCAAGAATGAAACATGGAACTAATAAAAACACAAAACAAGTAAAAGAATCATTGTCACAAAGACAAGGGTATTTCTCATTTTAGGTCATGGCTTAGCTCCCTGTGATGAGCTAGCAGAATAAATTGATGGGGTTTCTTTCAGTGTTGGGTTCCCAGCACAGCAATGTTCACTAAACTGTTCAGTGATGGTTTATTGTTTGTTTGTTTGTTTTTTTAAAGCTTTTTGCACCGACACGATGAAGCTTTTTCAACAGAACCTCTCAAAAACAATGGTCGAGGGACTCCCCTGGCGTTTTACCATGTCCAGAATGTAAGTAAAACTTTACATTAATATTAAGTGTCTGTGTTAGCACTAGGAGTTTTGTGTATCCTTCTTGTAAAACTCATGAGAAATGTATGGGAATGTGGGGCAAGGGGAATTATTAGAAACAGACAGCAGGAGGAGTGATCAGGTGAGTGATGTAATCCCCAATGGAGAACAAAATACAGAATGATTCTGTGTGTAGATTTAACTCTTCTGTTTCATCTCTACTTCCAGCCTTTGAATTTTCTGTTTCCTTTCCAGGGTGTTCAGTGAAAACAGTCTAGAATTCAGGAAATAAAATACATGTGAATAGGAGTGCTCAGGATCTCAGATGAATTGAATGTATCTATTTTTATGAGCTGTGTAATCCTTTGGTGTCATGTAGGCTTCTCTTCTACTGATATTGAGACTTTAATTTTTTTCCTTTATCAGAGAGTAGAATGAATGTGTAAGTCAAACAGGAATGCAGTACCTTTTACTTTGAGAGACCCTAAACTGTAAGAAAACTACACACTCCTAGAAGTCCCCCTTAGAAGGTTTCCTTTTTGTATGTCTGATTTTCTTTGCTTACTTTGCCTAACAGATAGCTGTGGAAGTGACGGAATCGTTTGTGGAGTACATCAAATCCAAGCCTATTGTGTTTGAAGTCTTTGGACATTATCAGCAGCACCCTCTCCATCTGCAAGGACAGGATCTCAACAGGTATCTTTCAATGTTCTGGCATAAAGGGTCTTTGGGAACATGCTGGGGTAGCTCTGCAGCTCGGGAGGTGCTTTTTCCTACTGCAATTATCCAGCCACACCCTCACCAGTAGGATTCCTTACTGATCCCAGAGTGCTGACAGAGCCCTGCTTGCCCAATGGAGTATGTTCTGTTAGTGAGTGATGGAACTGTTCCACCAGCTTAAACATGGAAAGTTGTTTTGCAAATACAGCTGCATCCACCCTGCACACACTGTGGTGGTAGAATATTGTATCCAGAACTTCAGTGGTGATCTCAGGGAGTTCTGGTAAAGCTTCATTGTGCTCCAAGATGCAATGTTCCCTCGGGCAATTGGCCTGATGCTTAAAGGTAGGATGACAAAAGCAGAGAGATTAGGGAGAAAACAAAAGGCTCTCAACTCTTTTACATACTAGTGCTAAAGGTGCTGGGCATTTGGATTTTTGGAATCAGGCAAGGGCTGCTGTTGTCTTCATAGTTTAAGGGAAAAGGCTGTTGCCTGGAGCTTGGCCTGGGCATCCCTCCCACTGCAGGCAGCAGCTGCAAAGAGGAAGCACCTGCTGGTTTTAAGAGGAAATACCAGCTGAGGCTTGTTCCTTTTCCTTCAGTTATTTTGGGATATGCCTGTTTTGCTTACTTAATTTTTCAGAGCAGAATGGAGGCAGAGCACTTGGAAATTGTAATTAATCCTAGCTTTCAGTAAAAAATACTTCAGTGAAAATAGAAAAAGGGCAGAGGTTAGTCTGAGAAATGTGCTGAGTCCACTTGCTTTCCTGACAGGTGGAATTTACTTGACTTCATGGGATTGTACAGATATTTTTAGAGACAAAAATGGGTGGAAGGACTGTTCTGGGTGTGTGTATTTTATGTATTTTTTATGTTTAGCTGCCTCCATATTGACAACTCCTCTCATTTCTCTGTAGCCCTCCACAGCCTTCCCGAAGATACTTTCCTCCCCCTATGCCACTCTCCAAGCCAGGTGAGAACAGTTCTCCAATGCTCTACATCACATCTGCTACTAAAAGTGAAGGTTGCAGTGCATTCCTAAGCTATTCAGGACACCAAAGATTATCATGGAGTGAATGTTGCAAAGGGGATTGGATCTTTGCTGGCCATCTTCCTCTTTATGTGTTCTTCTCAACCTCCTCTTGCAGGAAGTGCTTTTTGGTTTTTTTCAAGGGTAGAGTTGCATTCCCCAGGTGTTGACATTATTCCATGAGATCTGGCTATGGCTCTCTTTGTGCTTACTGAGCACTTGACTGGAAGTTTGCTTATTCATTAGCTGCTTCATCATTTTGCTCTCTAACATTCTTGTTTAGTGAGTCAGTCTTGTTTAAATGACCCTTGGTTTTCTTTGCTGAATTGTAATAATGCATGCTGAACTCTTGTGTGGTTTATTTCCATTCCACCTTTTATTTCCTCCTTCTCAAGCTGTCTCTCACCTGCATGTTTCTACCATCCTTTTCTTTTTTTGTGTGTGTTCCATTCCCTTTGCAGACCATGAAAGAAAAATTGAGTTGATTAGGTATCTTATGTCTGGCTATGTAAACGTGCATGTGCTGAACACGCTCTCCGAGCACGCCAACGTGCTTGCATCCTCTGCTGTGGCTGCTTTCCAGGATGGAGCTGACCAGCTGCCACCTTTTCTCTTTCTGCCTGTTCCCAGTTGTCAGAGTGAGCGGGCTCCTAAACGAGATGGTTAGTAGCCAAATTTGATCTATGGTAGATGTAGAAGTAGTTCCAAAACATACTTCGAGATTCCTTTTTTCTTACTTCTATCATTGTAGTATTCTTGGGAGTAGAAACTGCCACAGTTTTGTTCATGGAAGGAAGATGCTGTGCTGAAGTTTGTGGCTGTTCTAGAGAGAACTATATAGAGTCCATATTCTCCAGCGTGCTTGGTATCTCTGCTGTTTGTGTCACTGGATCTAGTCCTTGAAACTTTATGCACCTCGTGATTTTTTTTTTCTTGTGTGTGTTCTGTACCTGGTTTTGTGAGATTGGGGTGAGAGATGCTTCATATGAAAAATCAGCTTGCTGTACAGGAAACATACTACTGTGTTCTAGATAGGTTTCCTTGTTGCTCATCTTCTTTTTTTGCCACTAACTGTGCTGCTCCTCACTGACAATTGTGTTCTTATTTAAAAAAAAAAAAAAAAAAAAGAAAACAAGACACCCTGGTTATTAATTATGCCAATGCAAGTCCATGAGAACTTTTAGAACCAGCTTTCATGTTTAGTTAAATGTGTCTTTTTGTTGTTTTTCTCTTCTGGTGCTTTGGAGTTTCTCTGCTCAGCAGTAAACTGGAGTGACTTGTGTGTTTGGTGTTCCTTTTCTGTCGGCAGCACTGGGTCCAGTTGTAATGAGTTGAAGTGCAACTGCATGATAGGATGGGTATAAGAGAGTGACTACCCTGAGTAATGAGTGGGAAGAGTAATTGATGACCCTAAAGCTTGCTACCCAGCATGATGGATTTGCAGTGCTGTCAACAACTGATACTTCTAAAATCTGTTCCTCTGAGGGAGCTGCTATTTTACCTGGCAAAGAAACAGAATTCACATTTTGTTTTCCAAGAGTGAATACACAAGTACATCTGCCAGGACCTTTTCTTAACTGGGGGGGCTGCTTCACCGTTCCCATGCATGAGAAATGAAGTCATGATGGAAGCTGAAGGATACACAGATGTGTGACAAAAAACACTTGAGCAAGGGGAGAATCGGGTTTGAGAGGCTAGAAGGGAGCATAATTATTTGGTTTAATAAATGCAATGAGGTCAGCATGTGAAAGGAGAACAAATGGAAAATGAATTGCAGAGTTTCAAAACTACCTGTATGCAGGAACTAAACTTTTAAAGTGTTCCCATCTACAAAAATTAAATGCATGAACGATAAGAAAAGTCATGTCATGATAGCTAAAAGGTGTGATGGAAGTAGGCATGAAGGAACGTCAGGTTATTTCTAGAATTTCAATTATCCCACTATATTTTTTTAATGTGGTTTATCCCTACATTTGTATGAAAGGCAATAGAGAGGGTATGGGCAGTGGTAATCACTGATACCAAAGCTTAGGGATCCCAGAAACATACTTCAAGAGGATTGTGGCTCTGGAATAATTCTTGTTCAGCCTTTTTAGATAAACATTCCCTTATCCAAACTGGTACGAGAGACTAGCAATTTGTAATGTGAAGACTGAAGTTTTAAGTTCCTTGATTTTTATTTTTTTCCTCCTGTGAGGAAGAGGAAATGTACTTTATTGGTGAGTAATGCTGCATTTGAACAGGCCTAAGCAATTCAAATCACAAATAGTTAAGCCATGAAGTAACTGATGCACATTTGAGGAAACTCAAATGTGAGAGACTAGAGAGACTATATATTTTTACAAGCTTTTTGGTTACTTTTAAAATTTTAATCTAGTAACTTTGACTAAAAAAACATCACTTTGAGAAATAATGATTGCTGTAAGCAACATCATTTTCATTTTTAAAAATGTGATCTGTGCACATAGAATACCTGGGATCACTGAAATGACAGGTTTCTCTGAGCCCTAGAGTAAGCTTTACGTGTTCATTCCTTGTAAACCATTTTCTTCTTTCTTTTTGTTTCTTTAAGTGCCAGCTACAAAGCTAAATACCATGAGCAAACACAGCTTGGGCCAGAGTGTGAGCAAGTATGACCTCCTTGTATGGTTTGAGATCAGTGAATTGGAGCCAACGGGGGAGTAAGTCCTGTATTAATCTTTTCTGTTTGATCTTTTTTCCCCTTTGATTCAAACCAGGTTGATGGTTAGCAATCATTATGGATTGTGGTCTGGCTTATGCCAGCCTGGTGTCTGGCTGGTTTGTAGTGACTGGGTGTAAATTCTGCTGGCATTCATTGTCCCCATCAGAAAGGACTGAAGGGATAGAATTACTTTCTCTCACAGTTAAAGTCATCTTTCCACTTTGAAAGCCCATGCACACCAGTTGAACAGGTGCTGGGAAAACCTCCCTGATGTAGGCAATGAGTTTAGATTGTTTGGGCTTGTAGACACTTTATGCTCCAGAAGTGATCTAGCAGGCCCTATTTTACCTGTGCTACAGAGAAGGTTTTTCCCTGGGAGGTCTTTAGGGATTATACTAAGAAGCAAATTCTGCAGAGTTTTCCAGCAGTACTGGAAGTACAGGATGTGATACTTCTGTGTTTCACTGATCCTGTGGTCCAACAGAGTCCAGTCTGAGAGTCAGCAGAAACATTCTTACTTCTTCAGATATTATAGAGAGAGGTAACTGTTGGCAGCAGAATACAGAGTAAAGTTGCTGCACTAGTGTGTCTTTCCTGCCTGCTGATTTTGCTGTCTCACACAGGTATATTCCTGCTATTGTGGACCACACTGGAGGCCTGCCCTGTCAGGGGACATTCCTG